GGGAGGAGGTCGGGCGAGGGGGATGAGGATGTGTGAGGGGGAGGACGAGGTCGCACAAGGAGGAGGAGAAGGTCGTGCTAGGGAGAGGATTCCGAGGAGGGGGTCGCACGGGGGCTAGGAGGAGGTTGAAAGAGGTGGAGGAGGAAGTCGCATGGAGGTCATGTGAGGGAAAGGAGGAGGTCAGACGACGATGCGTGAGGGGGAGGAGCAGGTCGTGCAAGGAGGAGCAGGAGGTCACACGAGGGGGAAGAGGAGATCACACAAGGGAGAGGAGGAGGGTGGAAGAGGGGGAGGATAGGATCGTGCAATGGCGAGGAGGGGGTCTTACGAGGCGGAGGAGCAGGTCGCACGAGGAGGACAAGAGATTGCAGGAGGTCGTGGGGAGGTAGGAAGAGAGGTGGGAGGAGGTCACACGAGTGGGATGAGGAGGTCAAAAGAGGACCCGTGAGGGGGGAGGAGGAGGTTGCCCAAGGAGGAGGAGGAGCTAGAGGAGGCCGGAAGAGAGGTGGGACAAGGTCGTACAAAGGGGAAGAGGAGGTCCGAAGACGATGAGCGAGGGGGAAGAGCAAGTCATGCAAGGATGGGTATGAGGTCGCAGGAGGGGGAGGCGGAGGTCCAACAAGGAGGAGGAGGAGGTCCGAGGAGGGGGAGGAGTGGTTCGTGCAAGGAGGAGGAGGAGGTTGTGGGAGGGGCAGGAGCAAGTTGCACGATGGGGACGAGAGGTTTCAGGAGGTTGTGCTGGAAGGGGAGGAGGAGGTCGCGCTACGGAGAGGAGTTCGTGCGAGTGGGAGGAGGGGGTCCCGAGGGAGGTCGCGAGGTCGCACAACGGAGAGAGAGAGAGAGAGAGAGAGAGAGAGAGAGAGAGAGAGAGAGAGAGAGAGAGAGAGAGAGAGAGAGAGTCCGCCTTTTTGGGGGGGGGTCGTAATTTGCCAATTACCCCATAAGTTGAGATATATGTGAAAAATTCTCTCAAAATGTCCTTGAAAGATCTGGGCACAGTGGAATGGCCTTTTGGGCTGACATCTTTGTGTTATGCCCCTGTCAGGGGGGTGTACAAATTCGCAATCTCAGCCTCCGCGTTTGGGCTTCAAGTTGGCCTTTTGCAATTGCACCTACAAAAACTTGGCAACTACGGGGGCATTTTGCAAAGTTGGATGGCGTCTGGTAGGGGTACATTGCAAAGATGGGGTCCAACCGATGTCTGGGGTGTTTCGCAAAATGTTTTTGTAATCGTCCTTCGCCGCTGCATAGCTGCGGCGGGTCCACTTGTAATAGTCTTTTTTTTGTATGATATTATTAATTAATAATAATAAAAATGAACGACAATTATAATGAATTGCATGGGTCCTGGGGACCATCTCACGCAGATATGTACATGTCATGCATCATCTTCACACGCAGTGATCAATAGTCTCAACCATAGACAAAGGTAGAGAAGAAAAAAACCGAGTCTCACAGCTTATATTATCAGAAATATGATTACAAAGTGCTTCAAAGTTCCCCTGAGTCCAGCGCTCATCAGTGCAACCCAAATCTCTGCTCAACTCATCAATATGCCTTCCAAGGCATCAGCGCTACCTCTGCAGATTGTCTCCTAGTCATCAATATGGTCACCACTCATCAGCGCCAACTCTGCAGTTCACAACCAACTCAGGTAAGTGTCTCCCATAGCCAAACCTTGAATGAACACTCTTCGTCTCAATCTCTTCCTCCTACGATGCATGCACACACTGTTCTCTCAAGGATCTACTCTGGATACTACTCATAGCTAAGTACTAACCCTTCTACTCTACTTACTAAGTCACTGGGCAGCATGGCTGCATCCCTTCCAGCGCACAGTCTTCTTCTTCCCTCTTAGCGCATCTTCCTTCCTCCAGSGCTACTCCTACTGACTAACGCACAAGTGCACCAGCACTTCCACRCATTCAAGCCAGTGGAGATCTGGCGAGGAATGAGGCTGGCAGCTTTCTTTATAGTGCTGGCCACTCCTCGCTGGGTCTTCATTGGCTCAATTCAGCCTGTCCTTTGTCCCAGTCCCTGCATTGCATGTGTCCCAGTGTAGTCCCAATGAGGTTCGACTGCTGCTGAGGCCTCTCAGCCGAGATTTGGATTTCAAAGTCTGGATCTGGACTGACCCCTTGACTTAGACCAGAACTGGGACTGTGCCTATTGACTTTATTTTCGGACAGGCACAACTCTAAACGAACAGACACATTCCTTTACACGAATAGGTACACTGTTTGCACGTACAGACACACTCTTACCCGAACAGACATGACATACACAGCTCCTGGTGAACAGGTAAGTCCTTTGACAATGCCCTTTGCCTTAGATTTAGATGTGCCTGTTGAGAGAGAACTTTGACCTTTGACCTGCTTTCACGTTTCTGAGCCCTGGCGAGATACCTTTTCACAATGGTTTACGTTTTCAAGGCCCGTGCTGCTTTATTTTTACAAGGCCTGAGGCCTATATCGGGTAAAGGCCCTTTTACTCTCGCCGGCCTAGTTTCGAAGTCCTCCGAGAATCAAGGATATGAATCCCTCTCTTTGCGCTTTCGTATGCAGACACAATATGAGGTGCAGAATCTAACAGTTCTTCCCTTGTAAACCAGCGATCTTCACTAGGATCCTGGTATGCAAATCTCACCTTATACTGTCGCTGTGGTCTGCCTCTACGTCCAGTGTGGTAAGTACTTTCTGCCACAATTTTATCCACGTCATACTTCCCATCCATATCTCCGATCACATCTAAAACTTGCCAAGGTCCTCTGTAGGTGGGTAGAAGCTTCTGAGAGATGTTTTTTTCAGGAGCAAAATTCTGTAGCCTCACCCAAACCAAATCTCCTACAACAAATTGAGACGGGCGTCTGTGTTTATTTGCCTGTTCAATTATCTGATGCTGGGCTTTGAGTATGTTTTCTTTTACTTTCTCGATGTCTTTCTGATATTGGATTGCAAATTCACTAGTCCCTAGAGGAAGCTTATGTACGTGATCTGGGTTCAATCGATCAATGGGTCTGCGCGGACGCCATCCCAAATGTAACTCCATAAGAGTCTTACACGTAGATAGGTGTACAAAGTTATTGTAGGCACTAGCAACCTTAGGCAGATGTTCATCCCAGTCAATCTGGTCGGGAAGAATGTACATGCGCAAAGCCTGCTGCAAGATCTTATTCATCTGCTCAGTTTGACCATTAGTTTCAGGATGCCTACCTGATGACATTGTCAACTTAGAGCCATATACATTCATCAGTTGCTGCCATTGTTCACTTGTGAATCGGGTATCTCTGTCACTCACAATAGTTAAGGGATGTCCAAAGTCTTTCACCCAATGGTTAAAGAACTCCTGAATTACCAAATCAGTCTTTGCTTCCGAAGGCAAAGCTACAAAAACAACATACTTTGTGAATCTATCCACTATGACCATTCCTTGCGTTTTCCCATTTCTGCTTTTCACTTTAGTATCCATGAAATCTATAGAGACAGAGTCTCCAGGGCCCGTAGGGATAGGCAAGGGCTTGAGTAGCCCAAGGGRCGATTGCGTGGTGCTTTTSTTTCGTTGGCATACTTGACAACCTTGCACATATGCGATACAGTCTGCCTTCATTCGAGGCCAGGTGTAGGAACGCAACAAAGTTCCATAGGTCTTCTTCCACCCAAAATGGCCTTCGGCATCATGGTATTCCCCCAAGATCATACTCTTGATCTCTTCATTATTGGGTATACATAGCCTATCATTCACATTAGTTCGTTCAAATAATAGACCCTGAGTCACTTTATGATCGGGAAACTCTGCTGGCTTTTCTTGCACTAGGTTAATCATGGTTCCATAAACAGGATCAGAGGGATACACATTCCTAATCTTTTCTTGTAGGTCAGCACCCACATCTAAATAAGTCACAATAGCACCGAAAATATCTGATCGACGACTTAGTGCATCAGCAACAACGTTATACTTACCCTTTACTGGCTTTAATTCAAAATCATACATATCAATTTCCGCAGCCCACCTTGTCAACTTAGGTGTCATTCGAGCTTGCGTTTTGAGCCAGCGAAGCGTTTCATGGTCGGAGTATACCTTAAAATGGCTTCCGAGAAGATAGTGTCGCCAATGATTGAGAGCCTCACGAAGAGCATACAACTCTCTTTCATACGTCGAAGCGGCCACTTTCTCATTAGGTAACCGACAAGACATAAACTCCACAGGTCTGTATCCATGCCCATCGTCTTACTGGAGTACAACACCTATATCATATTGACTAGCGTTGGTTGTGACTACGAAAGGTAAGGAAGGGTCTGCCACTTTCAAAACCGGGTAGTTGATCAAACACATTTTCAAACGCTTGAAAGACATCGTGCAGTCTGAATCCCACTTCCAAATTACTTCTTTCTTAAGCAATCGGCGAAGGGGAGCAGCTATTATCGTAAAGTGTCTTACGAACTTTCGATAGTAGTTATCTAACCCAAGAAACGACCGCAACTCGGTCAGGGTGCGGGGGTTTGGCCAATCTCCGATTGCTGCTATTTTGGCATCTTCCGGTTTGACCCCATCTCCATCAATCACATGTCCCAGGTATAAAACCCGACGCTTAGCCCATTCACACTTCTTTGGGTTTAGCTTGAGTTTTGCTTCTCTCAATTTATTTAGCACAAGTCGAAGGTGCTCAGCGTGCTCCTTTTCATTTTTGCTAAAAATTAAAATATCGTCTAAATAAATCACAACAAATTTGTCGAGCCATTCACGAAAGAGTTCGTTCATCGTTCTTTGGAAAGTAGCAGGGGCATTCGTTAGACCAAAGGGCAAAACTACGAATTCATAATGCCCATACCTTGTCCTAAAGGCAGTCTTGTGTTGGTCTTCCGGCTCAACCTCAATCTGATGATAACCGGAATTCAAATCAATCTTTGAAAATATTTTGCTTCCCTGCACGCGATCCAGCAAATTGTCTATTCGCGGTAGTGGTTCGACATTCTTTATTGTTATATCATTTAGTCTTCTATAGTCTATACACATGCGAACGCCGCCGTCCCTCTTAGGCACAAAGAGCACAGGTGCACCATAGGGCGAGGAGCTAAGTTTATCCAACCATTTTTCAACAACTCGTCGAGTTGGGTTCGCAGTTCATCCAATTCCTGGGGCGACATACGATAGATAGGCCCCTTCGGGGGCGCGCTCCCTGGAATGATATCAATGCGGTGGCGGATTGGTCTTTCCACCACACCGCTTGGGGCTTCTGCCACATCTGCGAACTGTTTCAGGATTCTCTCAATCTCCTGAGACGTGACTTCTTCTTTAGTTTCTCCTTCCTTTACTGGGCGCACATATGCAACAAAGACTTGGTCGTACGAATTATACTTCTTCACATGACGGGCGAACGCGGGGGCACTCATACAACAATGAGCCAGGCTGCTTTCCTTACCAAATTCATGAAAGAGGCGGATTTTCTTCTTACCTCCTTGCGGACTTGGAAGCCAACATTCATGTTCCCTTAACTTTAGATCCGCATGCGCAGCCTCACCCCAATCCATTCCTAATAACACATCAAAGGGCAAGTTATCCTCCACCAAGAAGGTCAGAGAGTGGAGAACACGTTCCACCTTCCCCTCTGCCTCCAACCGAAAGTATACTTGTACCCCTTCGACGTAGCGATCCATAACGGTTTCACTACTATTTGCTAACGTACTTACAATGGGCTCACCTAACTTCCTAACCTTAAGCCCAAGACTTAGTTTTTGTAACCCTCTTTTACTAATATAACTGCGTGTAGACCCACTGTCTATCATGCCTCCTACTCTTACTCGGTTTATTTCAAGATCTGCAATTATTAACTGTCCTTTCTTTTTTCGCATTTCAGTCCAGGCTTGGCGACAAGCGGCCAACTCATCACCCATGCCAGGGAGGGATCCATCTAGAGAGATGCATACGTTTGCCACCTCTGGACAGTGTACTAGATGGGGACTTCCTTCCTCCTCAGTTTCTGCCAGTGGAGCCTTCGAATGGGAGGATTCTGGTTTTTCAACATTCGAAGCTCCGGTAGAGGCAATTGGCACCTCTACTGGCTGTTCCCTTTTGCCCCCCTATAATCAGGGCAATAGGGGACAATGTGGTCGGGGTCCCCACATTTGAGGCATTGATCTGCCATCTTCCTTTCGGCCCAAACTTTCTCTGTGATTCCCAATTCTTTCCAAGGCTCTCCTTCCGGCAAGCCTGGATGAGGTGGGTATGGCTTATCCCACTTGTTGTACCATGAGCCTCTTCCTCTACCCCAGGTGGAGTAAGAACCATGGCCACCGTATGAGGGACCATTTCCCCTTCCTCCCACGTAGTGGCTTCCTTCACCACCATCCCTCTGGGTGCCGAATCCTTGTCCACCACGGCCGCGACCTCTTCCTCGGCCACACCCTCTTCCTTGACGCCCTCCCTCGCGGGCTGCAACAGTCGCGTAACTCCCCTCCTGAGCTACCGGTCTGTTGGGTTCATCGAGACCATAGTCTATTTGGTCCCAAGAAAGTGATCCGACACCTCCTTCTTCAAAGGTCAGAAGGAGGTTGTCTTTCCTAGGTATTGATCCTGAGATGGTGCGGTTTTGCCATCTTTTGCCCGCTTGCAGATCTTTCAAATAGTGGCAAGAGTTGGCTTCAGCCAAAAATCCTGCATGGTCTAATGCAATCTTACTAAATTTTTCATAGGTCATCCCCTCCTCTTTAGTGCGGGGATATAACTGAGTTCGGACGGGATCAGGTAAGGCGCGAGCAAAACTATTCAAAACCTGAGCCGRGGTTAACCCATGYTCGGTGCACTGCAACAACTCATCCATGGTAGCTTTAAGTGCCGACGTGCTTTTCCACTTCCTGTCAGGAAGGTTCCAAGATTAACATTTCTGTTCTTCGGGCGAGATTCTTATCTTCGGACCTCTCCCTGACGGCTTTGAGAAAGTCTTCAATACGGGTTTGCTGGGAAAACTCTACCATTGAACTACATCCTGCTTCTTTTTGTAACGAGATTGCAAAAGTCATTGCGTCATCGGCCATGCACGAAGTGGCCATCAACACCCTATCCCAATAAGGAATCCGTTGTCCGTAGACATAGGACTCTACCGCCACCATCCAATGCAACTTCTTCCTTTTTGCAGGTGTACGTCCAACTTTAATTTTGTTGCTGGTCCCTGCTCCTTCTCGCTGTCTTCCCTTTCCTTTCTTATCTCCATCGCCTCCATCCCCGTCTCCGTCACCACCTCCTCCTCCGCCGCTGCCCTGCACTATTCTCTCAATCACAGCTGGAGTGAAGGTTTGAGTGAGATGATCATCCAGTTTGTTGATATAGGACTGAATGTGCAGATCTACGTCCTTGGCGGACTTCTGCAAAAAAGTGTTCCATACATTTTCAAATTCTAGTTGATTCGTTTCAACTTTCTGCAAGGTCCTGTTGATTGCAGCAACCTCCTGTTTCGTATGGAGAACTGTTCCAGTTAGGAGGGGTAGTTTTTCTTCAGTAGCCGCTTGCTTTTCCTTTTGTGCCTGCAGCTCGCTGTGTAACCTCGCCCCCTCTGCTTGCAACTTCTTTCTATCATCAAGTTCTTTGCGCTTTGTCGCTAGCATCTTGCTATGTAGTTCAGTGCGTTTTTCTTCCAGCATCAGTTCTCTCTCCCTTTGATCTGTTACTTGTGCTAGCCTTGGTATGAAGGTGTCTCGTTCTTCTTTTGTCTCTTCTAACTTGTCACTGGAATAAGAATACTGGTTATACCAGTCCAATGGCTTGACAAATACTTCCCCCCGGATCTCACTTGTCTCGCCACTTTCTGCACGCCGCCTAATAAGTCTTTCTCCCCCTTCCTCCGAGGCTTCTTCTTCTTCCTCAATAGTCTGCAACTCATCCTTTATTTCTTGTTCCCACTTTTCCTTTAATTTCCTCTTCATTTCCTCTTCATTTCCTCTTCATTTCCTCTTCTTCTAACTGGGTTTTTTTCCTTAACTCTTCTTCTTTCTTTCTTCTCTTTCTTTCTTCTTTTCTGCCTGCCGGCGGTCAATCTCTGCCTGCTCAGCAGGTGTGGGCCCTGGCTTCACCGCTCCTGATCGCATCATCATGCGGGACGTGCACACCCGTCCGAACCCCAGTGGGAACATGAGTCGGAACAGCGGCCCCAATAAGACGGAAAGGGCCAACAGGCCCTGGATGGGATAGTCATCCATGATGACTACCGGCACAGGAAACCCTCCGCCGAGTCACCAAGGTACTATCCCACTTACGGACTTGGTCTTGACTTGCGGTAATGGAG